CACGGGCGGGGGCAGACTGAGGCTTACAGCGGGGTTCACGCCCGTGCCCAGTGGCTGGCTGTGTCCCCCAGCCTCTGTCTGCTCTGGAGAGACTGAATTTCCTGCTTTCAGGGTTAAAAATGTTCATTAGGAAGGACCCACCCCAGCCTGTTGCGGAGTGGGAAGCTGCAAGTCCCCTCTTAGGCAAGGCAGGACTTAGGTAAGATAGGACTTAGGTAAGATGACTGTTTTGGTACTGGGTTTAAAAAATCCAGCTTGTGTCTCCACCTGACAAAAGTGCTCTGATTTTAAAGTACACTCATTCTCTATCGTGGCTATTTTCTTTTCAACTATCAAAGTTGGTTTGCTCCCCACCCCACCCCACCCCCCTTACCACGCTGTTTAGGTCAAATCTGCTTATTTCCTAATAACTTTACCATTATGTACCAGAACCATTTGGCCATATCTAGGTTGCAGGCCCCGCAGAGGAACGTTTTCAAACACAGGTAGAAAAAAGGCAACCCCTGTCAAACACTGATTTTACAGCACATTACACACCATTTATGCTTCAGGACAGAAGTTTGCAGCTGTATTGCACGTGCTCGGAGCAAGCTGGGTCGTCGGCATTTAGACAAGCCAACAACAAGGAGTCCTGTATCCTTGAGGGTTTCAAAGCGAGAATGCGTGTATTTAAGCCTCAATTCTCTTACTACTTTTCCTGTGAGCCGGCTGTACGGGTACAGGCTTAAACCGTAGGCGGGCGCGTTGGCCAACCCTCGTGCAACAGGGTAGCCTTGGTGGGGAAAGCTCGAGCCACGAGCAAGCAGCTGTTAACCCGATCTCGGAAGGAGGACGCGTGTCCTCTTACGCCGCCGTTTCCAAGGGCATCACGCGCTGCCTTCCTGTTTTCTCCTAGGCTGGTATTATAGAGGAGATGCTGGAGGACACCTTTGAGAGCATGGAGGATCAGGAGGAAATGGAAGAGGAAGCCGAGATGGAAATTGATAAAATCCTTTTCGAAATTACAGCTGGTGAGTTTGTGTGCCTCTTGTCGAGAGCGGAGCCTTGCCCCCGCTCTGCTCAGTAGGACGCAGCAATTCAAATCTTCGTCTGTTCTGACTGAGCTGCGCTCTCCCGGTGGCGTCCGTGCCTCTGCTAAGGGGCGGAGTGCTCTGACAAACTGGTTCCTCAGGGAATACTGGCCGAGAAGGCCGGTGCGGTTCAGTACAGCGTAAGTCCTGGGCATCAGCTGCTCTCTGCAGTTCGGTAACCGAGGCTCTGACAGGTCGGTGTTTGGCTGTACAGCGGATCCTCTTAACGAGGTGAAATGTCTGCTATGGACTAGGCACGCTGTCCTGAGTGAGCCAGGAGATAAACTCAGTCTGCATCGCCTCGAGCCTTAGGCTATGCCGTGATTCCTGGCTGTGAAATGCTGTTGGTGCCTTGAGTTGTTGGGGGGGAAAACCCACAAAACAAAAGAACCACACCCTAAAACCAAAACCCAGCCCACAACCCCCAGCTTCAGCCTTATGGTGCCTGAAGTAATGATCAGCCATTTTGGTTAATTGACTTAGGTAATGCTTAGCAGGCTCCTTACCTGTGTTTCTCACGTTGGGGTGTGACAGACGCAAGTACCGGAGCTGCGTTCGGCTGTGGCACTGAAGGCACAGTTGCCCACAGTTCCCCAGCCTGGCCTGCTGTTACCTTGGGCCCAGCCCCTGGCTTGTTGCCCTCTCTTGTTTCTCCCGTCCTGCTTTGCTTTTTTCCATCCCTGGCTTGGAGCAGCTCCTTTCCTGCGGGCGGGCGGTGGGAGCTGCTGTGTCAGCCACCAGCCCGGGCTGCCTGAGGCGTGACCTCTGCCAGAAGGTTGAATTATTGGAAACAGCCGTACCCGAGAGCTGCTCGTTACTGCATGAAGACCTAACACGCACTAACGAAGGGCCCTGTTTGTTGTTTGCAGGGGCCTTGGGTAAAGCACCCAGTAAAGTCACAGATGCTCTCCCAGAGCCGGAGCCCATGGGAGCGGCCGCTGCGGTCGACGAGGAGGAGGACATCGAAGCGATGCAGTCGCGATTAGCTACCCTCCGTAGCTAAGGGGAAGCCAGTCTGTACAGTTTGCCTTGGTTGGTTTTGGTTTGGGTTTTTCTTTTTTTTTTTTTTTTTCTATGGGATATTCTGTCCTATGTTCAAAATGCAAAACTTAATATGTGAGAATACTTTATGTAATATATATATTATTTTTTTTCCTTCCTGGGGAGTGTATTCTCCAAGAAACTACTGTAATATACTTCTTGGGGAGCGCAGGCTGCAGGGATTATTTTACCCCTTTCTGTTCAGCCCCTCTCCCCTGCGAGAGGCCGTGGTGAAATGGCAGTGGTGGTGTAACGTTACGTATTTTTAGGTGTAAAGTCCTGAAATACATTCTTATCTTCG